TGCGGAAGCTGCGGTGCGGGAACCCTAACACTTAGCAAGGCCACGGACAAAGAGTATGGCTTGGCAGTCAAGCTTCTGCTCGTCTGTGCCACATGCGAGTTCGAGAAGAAGCAGTTTTCTTCACCAAGAGTTGCCGGAACGGCGAAGATCACTCCTTTCGAAGTGAACATGAGGGCAATGAAGGGAATTCAGTCAATTGGGAAAGGAGTCACTGCCCTCGCAGACTTCTGTTCGTCCATGAACTTGTCACACCGCGGCCTGCATCACAAGACCTTCCAGGGACACCTGAAGACCCATGTGCAAGCCTGCGAAAAGTCAGCAAGTGCAAGTGAAGCTGCCAGCTCAGAAGTTGTCAAGGGACTGTATGCAGACTTCTTGAACCCTGTCGGCAACATCGACGTGATCTTTGACGGATCTTGGATGACGAGAGGACGCAGCTCCCACATTGGTGTGGGCTGCATTGTCGAGCTGTATTCCGGCCTAGTTCTTGACCATGTGGTGTACTCCAACTTTTGCCTTGGGTGTGCCCTGGGACCGGAGCCGGAGGAAGAGGGGTACGGCGACTGGTTTGCAGCCCACGAGTGCCAGAGGAACATAGATTGCAATTCAGGTCGGATGGAAGTGGAGGCTGCATTGACCATGTTTCAAAGATCCCTGGCCAAGCACGGACTGAGGTACACCACAGTTCTCTCGGATGGAGATAGCCGAACCTTTCATGCGTTGACCGAGGCAAAAGTCTACGGCTTCGTCAAGGTCGAGAAAAAGGACTGCATCAATCATGTGCACAAGCGGATGGGGGCTGCGTTGCGTAACCTCCTTGAGAAAAAGAAAGCCCAGGGTGAAGCACTCGGCGGAAAGGGCAGACTGACGCAGGACCGAATCAAGAAGATTCAAAACTACTACAGCCATGCCCTTAGGAGCAACAGTAACGATGTGCCAGGGATGAAGAGGGCAGTGGAAGCCACCCTCTTGCGCATGACGTCTACGGACAGTGCCCCAGACCACAGCAAGTGCCCCGACGGAGCTGAGTCGTGGTGCAAATTCAACAGAGCCCTGGCAAATGGCGAGTGTCCACCTGCGCACAAGAACCCTCTTCCAGATTGTGTGCGGTCCGCCCTCAAGCCAGTGTTTGCAAGGCTCAATGATGAAAACCTGCTGGCACGGTGCAGCGAAGGCAAGACGCAAAATGCCAGCGAGAGCCTGCATTCGGTCATCTGGACGCAAACCTCGAAGAACGCCAATGCCTCCCTGGACAGCGTCAAGAGGGCTGCTGCCGAAGCTGTTGCCGTCTACAATCAGGGCAGGCGGGCAATGAGCGAGTCCGTTGCTGCGAGCCTGGGCTATGCTGCCGGTGACTGCCTCGTACGCCGCAGCATGGAGAAGGACAATCTGCGTTTGCGTAAGGCCAACGCTGCCCACCAGAGCAGCAGCAATGCAAAACAGAGGTTCTCCAGGTAACACCGGACTGGAACAGCTGGGGACTACAGTCCTGGACAGCTGTGAGGGGGCTCCCCTTTCGAGTGCTACATGAACAAAGGCCCTTTTCAGGGCCAAACAAAATCTGCTTTTGGAACGTGCAACCCTTAGTGCCTCCTCCCGTTGTCCCTTATAGAGTCTACTCATTCTTTTATAACTTTATTTTACATTGCAGACATTATTTCTCAGTTTTATATTATTTTTTAAAGGTTCTTGTGAACGGATCGCAGAATTTTTCATCTCAATTTGTTCAGATAGAACTATGCTTCATATTGCTGAACATTATTGCATGGGATCCCTTACTCAATTTTATGCAATGAGTGTCAAAACTTCAACTGCAATTTTCTCAGCTTCGCATTTTTCGTCTACATGCCTAGCCTTACGGTTGTTTTCATGAGATTATTCTTCAAGGATTTCTATAAACTTTATACCGTTGGATTCAGAAAGAAGTGAACTGCAGGGTGATGCTATTTTTGTATGACAGTATGGGCCCGAAATTTTATTATTAGTGATAATGTGACCTCGTTAGGCTTTGTAAATAGTGTACTTGACCTAATTAGACTAGTTTTATACAACAATCTATCTTTACAAAAATATAAATAGCATCATCTTGCATGGCAGGTCTTTAGCTACAAATCCATATCACTTATGCAAAAAAATTTGTATTAGAAAGTTCCTTAATGAGTCGTAAGAAATGACCTAATTAGGCTTCATTATTTTCTTCGTAACTCACAAAGTAATTGAGATATTGCAGAACTAGTTGAATATTTGAAAAGAGGAAGCCAAAACACATATACACACTGATTTTCATTATAATCCATTAATAAACAAAAAAGTCGATTTTAGAACCAGTGTCTTGCCTTAAAATGATTAAATTTCACTCTAAATTTATGTAAATATTTCATTGCAAAATATATTTGGGATCGAAGCAGTTTTGTTGAGATTTGCCCTGTACATTTGGTTTCTGCGTGGCTGGCAACTTACACTATGCTTTTTTTATTTTCTTGTTCATTTTGGTTCCTGCCTTACCGCCAAGCATTCTGACAAAAAGGAATCGAGAACACGTTGTGCGGGTGTGCCACAGAGAAACCCTTAACATACCACAGATAGACTGAAGCTCCACCTGAAAGTGCCTTAGCCAAGCTGTTATGTCAGGAGTAGCCAAATGACTATGTCTTCTTATTGAATATTTTCGGGTTGGACTAACGAATTTGTAGTTTGTGTACCATAATATCCCAGGAGATGTCCCCGTACCCTGAAAGGTAGATAGCCCGCCTAGATTTAGTTGCAATTTCCTGTTCATGCTAAAACAGCAAGAGAAGGCTCACTCCTAGAAATCGCATCACTTGGATGGCTTCGGCAGCGGTAGGGCAGCTTTTCTTAGCACTGTCGTCTGTCAGTGCCGTTCAGAACTGCCTGAAGACAGCATTTGGCTGATCGTGATCACTTTGGTTCTAGGTCAGTTGTCAGGAAGCACTCGCATTAAAAAAAAACATAAAAAGAAGCGATGGTCACTCTGGGGCCAAATGGAGCCCAGGGCAGCTTTAACAAAACCACAACATCTAACCATAGCTTCAATCCGGCTTTTCTATTGTGTAGGGCTATGGGTGTGGTATCAGTCGCGGGCCGATTTTTCGGGCGCCGATAATTCGGGCTTGTTCGATATTTCGGACCTAAAGAAAAAAATGTGACCTACCCGATAGAAATAGTGCATACTATTCACTACCAGTGTTTCGGACAGCTTTGGACAATCCGGTTTGGACAATCTGGACTGAAAGTATTAACATATTTATTCATATCAAACCGTCCGCTGCCACGACCGTGCTGTTAGAGAGATACGTTTGGCACGGAAAATTGGGCATTGCTTTCATTCGGCGCATCCTCTGCCGTTCGACCAGCCTCACAATTTGGCATGCAGTTGCTTAATATACTACATTGTTATTTCATTCTACCTTTACTTCACGTTGCTCGACAGACGATACCGTTAGCGTAGCTAAACAAACATTCAAATTCGCGTGTCAAGTAACATTTTCTTTTTTTTTATGTTACTGGTACATCCATTAACAACATGTTACTTTATGCTACCATGCAGTATTGGGACAGCACCACATTTTTTTCCCCTTGAGGGCATCTTTTTTGTGCCAGTTTAGTGGGCTAAACTCTTTGTTTCGAGGTTTCATACCAAGCAAGCTAGCTGGCAAGGTTATTTTCCCAGCCGGCAATGGGAAACAGAACCGCGTTTCTTGCATTTGGCATGCCGCTTTTTCACGCAGAGCCATCAGGCAGGAAAGCATTCCTTCACCACAGTGTTGCCAGTGACGCACAGAGTTGTCACGTTTATGAAAGGGGTCTATAGAGCGAATCGAGTCTGAAGTATCAAGCAGCGAGTTTAATGGCCTCTGAAATTTCTGTCCCTCTTATACTGTATGGCGGGGGTTCTCAAACTGGGTTCCGGGGAACACAGGGGTTCCACGAGCTGGTCTAGTGGGTTCCACGAACACCCAAATTGCAACCCCCCCCCCCCCCCCCCCCCCCACGCCGCAGACTGCGCGACAGGACCACGCAAAGCGCCATTATCTCACTTTGTACTGACATCGCGATTGATATGGTGGGGATATATGGGAAGCAACACAAGCTAAATTGCCTGCAATTGTGCATCTGTTGCCTCTTGTTCGGCAAATATGGAGTGGGGGGTTTCGCGGCAGTTTTTGAGGCTTCCTGGGGTTCCGTGAGGCCAAAAAGTTTGAGAACCCCTGCTCTATGGGGTGAATCCTGCGAAATTTTGGCCGGTGACTGTAAACCAAGTTATATATATATACGTATATTTTTTTTACAAGTTGCATAAATATACTGCAAAGAAGCCAACTTTTACATTTCCTAAAAATCTTGCACTCTCAAGCCTTGCTACAGCGTCTTTTTAAGTTTTTTTGGTCACACTCCGTAAGGTATGGTCCACCCCTTACTGTCGAGCAATTGGCTCTCGATTTTACGCGGGGTAGCTTTTTTTTTCTTTCTAAGAGCCATATTTGAGTGGAATGACCTGGCTACGGATATTGTATCACCTGAAGGTGAATCTTTTTGTAGAATTATCAGTGCGTTGGGGGTACTTGCTCACCTGGCTGTTGTGTTGTGGGTTTTAATGATGTGTGTTATGTGTAATTTTAGGTTTTTTTGTTTTTTTATTTGTAGAAATTGTGTTTTGTTGTGTGCTGATGCACACTTTTGGATTTTGGTGCATCTTCATTTATATTTTTTTTTTCATGTTGTTTGTTAATCACAATTTTTTTTTCATCCCCTTTCTTGTAATGCTTTGGCACTGCAGGGTTCTGCAAAAATAAATGAATAATTTAAAGCTTTGTTGAAAAGGTATTTTTTTGTTTGTGTTTTTGGTTTAGGGCGTCGGGGCCGTGCATTTGCACGCTCTCGCCACTTTCACCGGCTCTGGGATTGCGGCAACATTTGTGATTTTATGGCATCATGCCGAGAGTGTGCGCTTGGACAACGAACCCCAGGTTGCTCCTCAGGTGATGCAGTTGGTGCCCAGGGTTCACCAAGTACTCCCTGAGGTCCTTGCGGTGCCGGTGCAGCACGGTGGCGGCGCGAGTCTCGCCGTTGCGGTCGACAGCATCATCAAGCTGATGGTGTGCGACACCCTGGTGGAGACGAGCTGCGTCGAACTCTCTACGGAGCCTTCGGAGGGGCAGGAGGACAGCCTGCTGTGAGCCTCGCTTCGTTGCCTTTACCTCTGCGCGCCTCCTGCCCCCACCCTACGGGAAAGTGAGTTTGAACTTTACCGCATTTCTCGTATACGGCACACTCTCCAGAAGTGGCCAGCCCTGAAGAGCCTTTGTATTTCTCGCACCTAAATGACCCTTATGGGAGAACCTTCATATTGCTTGCATACAACACACTTTCCTTAAATAGTTCAGAAGAATTTTTAAATTGCTTGCATATGGTATGACACTTTTCATAAAGGGCCAGCACAGAACTTTCACACTTTTCTCATATATGCCACACCTCCCGTAAGGGGCGAGTACGAAAGAACCTTTGTATTTCTCAAATATGGCATACGTTTTATAACCATCCAGTACGAAAGAACCTTCGTATCCCCTGAGGACGTGGAATCCTAAGTATGTATAATTAACTAAAAGCTTGTAGTGAAAACGTTTTTTTTGCAAAAACAAAACTAAGATCACGCAATACCGTTGCTGGCACACCAGCAACAAATTTCGGCACATTCTGATTAAAATACATTTGAAATTACCCCTTTTTGGACTTACTTTTGGGGAATTATTTGTTAAATCGGGTTGACAGTTAAGCTTAGTTCATTATTTCAAGTTCATAAAAGCCTTGAGCCCTATGGGATTCTGCCGGGGAATTAGAATTTGTTAATTAAATCGGGAACTTCGTAAGCTTGAGTTTTGTAAAAACGAATTTCAACTGTAACTAAACATGAAAACTTTTGAATATTTTCTTTATTTTTTATAAAAGCCATGTTTTCTTATAAATGGCCAGCAAGGTAGAACCTCCACATTCTCTGTATAGAGCGCACCTCCCGTTGACAAACTTTCTCGAGATTGGCGAGTACGGAAGATCCTCGGTGAAGTTTGGTCTTTGTCGGATTCACCAAAATGCAGTCAAGTTGGCAGCAATTAATAGGCAACTCAAGGGGTATTTCTCTTACATGACTTACCATGCCTAAATGGCCAGCGTGGCCATATTGCTTGCATGAGGGTATGTCTTCCGTAAACATAATATCTCACTATAGGCCACCATAGAAGAATCTTTGTGAAGTTTGGTTTGTGTCTGATCTACCAGGGAATAAAGTGGAGGTGGTAGGTGAGCGAAGGGGTTTTTGAGCACTATGATCTGGGGGAGCTCTTGTAGAGTTTCTTACAAAAAGGTTCACATGTTTAGGATGTTTGGTAATTATAATACACATGCACAATGCAGGAGCTTGGGTGTTGTGTGCCCCAGTGATACAGTAGTCTACTGCTTAGGTATGCCTGAATCGTACCTAAAAGTATAGAAAGTTACAGGGGCAAGTTCCAAAGTAATGACTTCATTTTTGTCACAAAATTTCATAAAATGGCATCCCCTGAGTGCATCCTTTCACAGACTACCACCTGCTTGTTGCCCTAAAGGGCACACTCGGAGTGTGACACTTTACGAATGAGAGGGAGCTCAAACTGCAATCAACAACCTCCAGAGTCGAAGCAAACACTTGTCAGGGGCGGGAACTAAAAGTGTCTTACTGGGTGATGGTGAAAGGTTGCAGCTAAAATATCACTTTCTTGGAAAACCATTATTTGCTTGTAAAGAATGTTGTGATTATCTGTGTGAATGTGTTCAAGAAACAACCTATACTTTATAAGGAACATATAATTCATGGCCCTATTTTCATTTTACACTCCTGGCACCAGGACTTCACAGTTCCCAGGAATCTGGTTTGAGAACCCATAAACTAATCCAATATAACATTAATTTTTTACTTTTTGTTTTACAACTGTAGATTTGTTGAGTGATTTCTCAAACTTGACAAGGATCGTACGCAAGTCCGAACAATCGGTCTTAGAAAATGATTTGGCTGAAATATTAAATTTAAGCGCAACTTCTTTCTGGTGTTAGCCTCTTTCCACTGATTTGATTAACGCAGCTTTCTTGCTCATTATTACTGTGCTATGCTCGCCTGGTTTGGACAGAGCTTTTGTTGGCACTCGTAGTAAAGACACCTTTTGTGCCACTCTGCACCTCTTGGAAATAACGTTCAGCCGTTCATGCACCATAACATTTAGTTACATCTGAAGCATGGGGGGGGGGGGGGGGGGGGGAAGGGGGGGTCAAAAGCTAGTTGCAACACAGACACAAATGCACGGACTAAAAGCGCAATCTTGCGACGCATTCGTTCTGCTTAACTTTATCATGTGGCAGTAACACTCCTAGTGGTAGCACATCTAATCCTGGGAATGTCTTTAGGATATCCTAACGTTCCAGGGATGTCCTGTGGACGTTCATATGGTATGTGTGCTGCTTCGGACGCTCGTAGAAGCACGAAAAATGCCGTGATTTAGCGCTTTCTGAGAGGCTCGATTGGTCCCATTCCTTGTAGCGTTGGTAGCGCTCTGACCTAGGATGAGACATTGTATGGGTCAGTGGTGGCCATTCAGACCATCTACCAGAGAGAATGAATGATAGCAGTCGAAGCAATCCGCCCATGGACTCAGTTCAGCTTCTCTCTTTCCTTGGACGCATTACCCAGGCTAGTATATGTCGAAACCAAAATGACGGTGGTTCGGTTTATGGTGGCAGCCTGGTGGGTGCTGCAAAGACCAACTTAGTAAAATCGAGTAGTGAGTCGTACGACGTTCAGAAGTTTTCGTCGTCGTTGCATATTAGCTCTAAAGATAGGTGACGGTCTGCAAAGGCACCTGCAAAAGCAAAGGCACTGTGCCTCAAATTTCAGCATTGATAAAATACACCCAAAATTCCGTTAAATCGCTTGCTGGAAGTAGCGTTCGTGATAATTTGAGGCATAGTAGGATGCTTCCCAAATTCAGGTCCCCAAAACTTGATTGAATTGTCGATCTCGGCTACTCTCTAACTAATCTTGTGGCATGTCCTTTGTCTCAATTTTTTGCGGTATGATTGTGGGTGCATGCACTCGTCTTTTCCGCAGCAGCGGTTCTCCACCTTCATGCTGCACTTATTATTAGCGTGCAACTTTGCAATATTTTCTTTATGTTTTCGTTTGTTTTGTGTGGATGGATGTTTTCTCTTGCATTTCAGGTTTCCTGCTTGGCAGTTTCAGAGGGGGCTTGCCACTGTTTCTTTTAATAAAGTTGTCCAGAATTCCAGTGTCCGTGTCGCTCGAATCGCGGCTGCAGATCTTCGACGGCAGCTGAGTAAATATGGGTAGGCCAGTGTCGTATGTTTGGGTCAACTCAATCCCATGCAACACATCACTAGGGTCACTGACAAGTTAATAAAGACAGGGCGTGGCAAATCCCGAGCATCTTATGTTCCACAGCCAATAAAGTTGAGACATAACATAATACCGTAGTTCCCTAAGTTGTCGGCAACCATATCGTTTGGTATCTGTGGCAAAACAAAATGACACATTGTGTCATCTCCCTCGCCTCGAAAATGCACGACCTAGACAGGGTGTTTAGCGACTGGAAAATCCGGGAATTGTAAGGGAAATTTTAATTACCGGGAAAAATCAGGAAATTGTCAGGGATATTGTCAAAAAGCGAGCCCAGTCAGGGAAAATGAGCCGGAAACGCCATCGAGTGCCTTCAGCAAAAACTTGAGGACTTGTGGGCAGAAAAATAGGCAATAAATTCTGCTTAGAGCGGAGCCCGCGGACTCTGCTCAGCCGATGTAAAGTGCGCTACCTGATGCAATGAAAACAACCAACAAATCCAGGTTAAGCCTTGGATTGGATTGGATTGAGGGTGCAACACTAGACTAGATCCAGTTTGAGCTAGTAGATTTAGTAACAAATGGGAAAGCTGCAGACCCCAATCCAATCCAAGCCGAAAGTATCTGAAAGTGTGCATCTGGCGGCCATGCTGCCATTCCATTATTGACGTATGTGGTTGAGCGTCATGTTTTCGTTGTGTTTCCGGAAGTGCCTTCTTCACTGACAATGTCGGCGGCAAGAAAGAGCTCGTTTAATTTGGACTGGACGAACACGAATATTTCGGAATTTGAAAGTTGAATTCAGCCCATGCGAAATGATTCTTACAGTGCTCAATGCTCAGTGCCTTGTGTTGTGATGGTCTTATATATTTCAACAATGTGACATGTTGGGCTAGTTGGTTGGAAGTGAACATTTTGGGAAGAAACGGCGGCAAAGAGACTTTCACAAGAGTAAAGAAACATACACGACAGGATGGCACTGAACTAACAACAGTTGTTTATTACACAAAAGGGGGAAGGAAGAAAACATGAAGCATCTTAATCGGAAAAAAAATCGCACACACCAACCAAGCAGCATATTATGTCAAGATAGGCCAAATCAGTGGCTACGTAATGCCCGTCATTGCCGATCGCAGTTAGCCGAATTCTTTTTCAGATAACACCATTGACGGTTCGCTGACGCATCTCCCGCCAAGTTCTGAGTTAAAGAAGGCCTCGATAATTTCATTTGTCACTCTGTCTCTATGTCTATCCAAAACGGTGACTTCACTAAAATTGAGCTGGCACTTGCAGCCCCTGCAGTGTAAAGGTACCAACCACCCAACAGTGGCCCTGAGTGAATACTAGGGATGTCGCGAACCAGCCTAGGTTCGATTTCAAAAGGTTTTGATACTTTCAAAGCGAACTGAGGTTCGAATTCGAAAAATTTCGATATTTTCGTACCGATTGAGGTTCAAATTCGAAAAATTCGCAACTTTCGATCACAGTGGAGTTTGGAATTCGAAAAGTTCGAAGCTTTCACGGTTTCTAAAATTTCGGGTTCGAATATTTTGAATATTTTTTTTTACTTGAGGTTCGATAAATTCAAAGCTTTCACGGTTTATAAAATTTCGGGTTTGAATATTTTTTTACTTGAGGTTCGATAAATTCGAAGTTTTCGAACTTTCTGAACTTGAAAATTCAAGATATTCGAAAATTTTGAATTCCCTCGGATATTAAATTCGAAGATTTCGAAATTCTTGGGATATAAAATTAAAAAATTCGAACACTTCGAATTTGTATAAACATAAAGTTTGAAGGTTTCGATTCTCTTTTAATGCTAAATTGTAAAAAAAATTCGAAGGTTTTGAATTTATTTTAGGTCCAAGTTTTCAAAGTTCAAAGTCCGGTTTTCATGTTCCTCTACAGTTTCAGTTTCAAATAATGTTTTCACGACTCACTGTTTTTCACGAAATCAGGTTTAGAAAAGACAGGGTGCGATATTTAGACTCCGCGAAGTTGGGTCAGGCAATTAAATGAGATGACGAGTGTCCCGGATGTGCTGGACTATTTGCTAGTGCAGATGCAGAGTGACGTGTGACCATAGATCAGTAATTGTGACCGCCAGCCCCGGGGGGGTGGAGGGGGAGGGAGGGAAGGAGGGGAGGGGGGAGGGTCTTTAGCGTGCATCACACAGTAGAGATCACACAAACGCACTGTTTTACGATACTCATCCAGTTCAAAACGTCCAGGGGCGTGCAGGAGGTTGAAGCTCAGAAAAACCTTGAAGCGACCTGGCAAACTACCTCCCTACCCCTTGCACGCTGGTAGTAATCCGATCGAACACCGCCCGAGTGACGCTGACATATACTAAATTAAGTTTGTAATTGTCCTGGAGGTTTATTTTCCTGGATGGAGGAACCGCCTCGCAAAAAAGCACAGAAGCCGACACACCTCGAGGTCGAGGAGCGTTCTACCATACAAGTGGCGTCGGAAGAAAAAAAGGGGGAGGGGGGGGGCTGCAGCCCCCCTTTCCCCCTTTTAGATATTTTGGACTGTTAAAGAAAACAATACGGGGAAAGAGGGCATGGTCGAGGTTATTTTAATCTGAAATTATTTATGCATATGTATAGACTGTCGCTCTTCACTGCATAAAAGGTCGAGTAGATGGTCATTCTCGAAAACTCGTCAGAAGGCACTACTTGTCACATGCTTAGTGGTTCGGAAGTTCTAAGCTACGTCTTTTCGACCTGAATAACTGTGCCATTGATAAAACGAAATTAAAAAATAAACATAATAAATGCGAATATAAAAAGCTGAAGAAAAAAAAAAAAAAACTAGTATCAAAAATTCGCCAGAAGTGTTGTATTCTTGCATATTCAGAAGCTCAGAACTTCGAAACAAGTTTCTCCTACCAAAATGTGTGCAGGCTAAAAGAAACACGTCCCAAGAAACGTGAAGCGAAAAAACAAATTTTTATTTTTTAATGACGTGCTGAACTTGAACAATATTAGATATCTTCTCCCATGAGTTAATTTAACCCTGACCGTGAAAAAACAATAAATACATTATTTTGTATTCTGCATATGGCAATGATATGTACTGTCTGTAGTGTTAATTTAAATGCGATATCTCAAACAACTTAGATGAAAAAAAATACCAAGTTTAGGGCATAACTACCCATAGATACATGTTTGGACATTTCTTTGAAACTTATCTTAAATAACAATAATTACATCTTAAGACGACTCTTACCTAGGCTATACATAGATCATCAACAAAAAAGTTTAACATCTCTACCATAAATAGCTTCGGCTATAGCGCACTTCAAATACGGCACAAACGACAATCGTAGAAAAACTGTTGTCCTTCTTCGCCCCTTCAGGAATTTATTTCTTTAAAACTAAGCCCGCCAGAACATTGAAATAAATGGCATTGTCTTTCGTAAGGAACGAAGCACCGCATGTAAAAATTAGAGAAAAAAAAATAATTACGAATGTACCTCACTACTTGAATTCAGATGAAACCATCCGCCGGTCTTTCGAAGTTCGACGAACGTCGAACTTTTACTTTAAAAGTTCGAAGTTTGTCGAACTTTTGACATGTCTGGATTCAAAAATTCTAAACTTTTCGAATTCTCTTGATAAATAAGTTCAAAAGTTCGAAAATTACCGAAATCCTTAGCGTAGGAAATTTGAAAGTTCGAAAAGCTTTGAATTTTTTAGTGCAAAAAGTTTGAAAATCATCGAATTTTTTGGTATATCAAGTTCAAAAGTTCGACAAGCATCGAATTTTGCAGCGTAATAAGGTCGGAAGTTCGAAAAGGATCAAATTTTTTAGCGTCATAAGTTCGATGGTTTGAAAAGCGTCAAACCTCTTAGTTTAACAAGTTCGAAAATTCGACTTCCGTCGAATTTTACAATATAGAAAATTTTAAAATTTGAAATCTTTCGAACCGATTGATTCGATAGTCGAAACTTTGATTCAAAAAAAGTTCGCGGCATTCCTAGTGAATACGAATGTTCTCTAAGTCTATCATTTGGCAGCGGCCCGACTGTCGAACGTACACCTTGCCACACGACAAGGGGATCTTATAAACCACGCCAGACACACAAGCCACAAACGGTACCACATGCTTTGTGGTGCATTTCTTTTTCGACCGCTTTTCGCATCAATAGCACCGACCTTTGCACATATCTGACCAATCTTCTGTGGGGCAGAGAATACCACTGGGACACCATAGCGACCTCCGACTTGTTTAAGGTTATGGGAAACCTGATGAAGATGGGGATTTTTGATTAAGATGCTTCTTGTTTTCTTCCTTCCCCCCTTTTGTGTAATAAACAACAGTTGTTAGTTCAGTCCCGTCCTGTCGTGTATGTTTCTTTAGTCTTGTCCAAGTCTTAGCCGCTGTTTCTCCCCAAGATGTTTGTCTTATATATTTAACCGCATCTACAATGTTCAGGGAATTTCACCTGAAATTGTCAGGGAAAACCTGGAAAAGTCGGGGAATTCCAAAGTAATAATTTGCTAAACACCCTGCTAGATCAAGGGTCTGAAACACGCGGCCCGCGGCTGCGAGCCCCATTTCCGTGCCTGAAGAGCTGCATTCGCCGCCAAAAAGTAGTTTCATATCGTTTATTCATTTGCACTCGGAAAAACGCTCCACTCCTTCAAAGCGTTTTGCACTACATCGTTAATTTTGGACTCGGAATTGTCTAAATAATGGCATCGCACTCTGCTATTTCTCACAAATCGGCCAAAACGACAATACCCCTACGAGGCTACAAGCGCGAGCTCTTTACTCAAGGACGTAACTCAACTGCACAAACTCTCTCGGCAGGAACAATAGCCAGAAAGTAAAGTAATGAGTTTGGGCTTTTAGTCGTTCCCACTGAATGTGGCAGTTGAGGTGCTTTTTGGCGCATCATTACTCTCCTTCTTTTGCATACTT